CAAGCGAGGTCGAACTGTCAAACTTTGATGGCAAAGGCACTTAGCCTGAGTCCCGTTGTTTACATCGATGGTTCAACGCCTCGGGCGTTAAGTGTCGGCTTCGTTTTGGCCTGTGGTCGTATGTTGTACCCGTGCTATGGTTGTTCGCCTGACCGTGGCATTCAGGTTGCTTCGAGGTGATTTTCGATTCCTCGTTTGGAACACCTCCGCGCTGGTTTCCGGCCTGACACAGTATGGTGGATGGGGGGGTGCTGCATTCTTCTGCCCGGCGATCAGGAGGAGAAGGGGGGACGCTTTGCATCACTTCTTTCCTCGCTCGGGCTGTTCGAGGTCAACAGGGCGGAAGATTTCTAGCTCACGTTGGCGCATTCGATTCTTCTTTTTTTGTTTGATGCGCCTCCATTGACTCTGGTTTGAGTCGAATTTTCTTCTTGGTGTTTCTTTTTCTTCGATCCAGGAAGAACTAAGTATTTTCACTAGGAAATCCCCACAGACGGCGCCAAATTGTTTGACTCAAAAGTTGTTTAACACTTTTCAAGCAAATCAATCAACATAGATGAATGGGTAAATCATAGTCAACCATAATTAATACTGGATCAAAGAACAGAATCATAAAGATAGAAGATCAATCGAAATGACACTTGGGAGGTTTTATTGATTATAGAAATTTGGCCTGCCTCTCCTTAAAGAGGTTCAGGAGATTACAATCAAATTATTTCTTCCTTCCAGGTTGAAGGTGGAATCTCTCTCTCTTTGTATAGGCTCAGTCTCTCTTTCATGGAGTTCTCCCATTATTTCCACTGTTCGTGGATCATGGAGAGCCCAGCCCCCTAAGGGGTTCTTCTGCCCTCTATTTATAGCCAAGAGCTGCTCGTGCTCATCATACGACCTCGACGCTTATGTCGTAAATATCAACGATTAGATGAAGTCGAGTTCGTTGATTACTACTGTAGGGTGGTCGGGACGGGATCATTGCCGCTGTGGTCGTGTGGTCAGATTCTGACCAATACAAAACTCATCTTTTCCATCACAGTTTCTCGTCTTATAATTTTCACTTGATTCAACGATCATCGTCATCCCTTGTCCCAGAATGGGGGATCACATTACCAGAGGAGAGGAATTTGAGAAGAAGCTCAGCGGCTGGGGTCTCTTCGGCTCCAAATTTGAAGACGCTGCTGATTTTTTTGATAAAGCTGCCAATTTCTTCAAACTCGCCAAATCTTGTTAGTTTCTTATCTACACTCTATGCTAATTATCATTTTTGATATAAAAGTCTTCCTCTTATATATATCGACACGTGATTCTGTTTTGCGAGTTCATTGTTATCTGAACAAATGTTTCTTTTATGCCGATTATTGTTTGGTTAAAGTAATTATCTGATACATTCGTTTTGAAAATGTCTAATTTTCTGTAAAATTTTGTGTGTAAAGTAGGTGGAAAGGTCATAATTCTTCTAATGTTCTTCTAATGTTCTAATGTTCATTTAAGGAGAGTTATTTACTCAGCCGCTTTTACCATGTTATGGACCTGCTCTTATATTTGAATGGATCAACTCTTGCTTATAATCTATGTGTTGGGTGTGTGAACAAAGTCCCACATGGAAAGTAGAAAAAAAAAAATTCTACTTATAAGGTGTTTAATACTCTTAATCGTGTGTAGCCTTTCGGGAAAAACCGTGCGGGCTTGGCCCAAAGCGGAATGTTAAAGAGTATCTTTGGACTATTTTAGCCCAATGTCACATGCACAACAAGATTTTGATGTTTCTCCAATCGTCTCTGTGATTTGTGTATGACATTGAAAATGCTTATGTTACTCGAGACAAAAGATGGAAAGTAATGTAAATTTGAGATAAAGTATTCTATTCCTGGTTGAATTGCTCAGTTTATAAGATTGACATTCAGTTGTAATTTTAGAAAAATTACATTAGTCTCTAAACATGATGAGGTCGAGGATTCTTTGAGTTCTTGAGGATCTAATTGGAAAAGGCTTACGGTTTTGTAAGTTAGATCGCCATGTCATATATGCTGAGAAACTGCATATAATCTGCGGATGCTTATTCAGTGGATCAAGCTGGAGCGGTATATGTCAAATTGGCTAATTGTCATCTGTAGGTAGTGTTAGATTGTCCTGTTGTAATATGTCTCTATCTGATGCTTTTCTCTAGCTTTTCCTATACAATTCTAATTTCTTGAAATTAGTTTTACTCTATGTTCACAGTTGGATAGCAAACATGAGGCGGCTAATGCTTATGCTGATGCTGCTCATTGTTACAAGAAGACCAATACTAAAGGTTAGTAAGTTAAAGCATACCTCATCCTCTTTGGAGCAATACTTTTGCGTTGCAGAACATTTCATGTGCTTCAAACTAGTATTTGACATATTTTGATATAAGTCCGTTCCTGCCATAGATAGAAGCATTTAAAGAATTCCTTCAGCAGGAAAACGCTGATGGCTTTAGGAAGAAGCAACTCACCGGAGAAGTTTATCTTTGAGTGGTCATAGGTGGTGATAGTTGATTGCACCATGTATTTCCTCTACTTTCTTAAAGCATACTATAACAATTTAGTGAACTTCAGATAATGTCACTAGTTGAAATATATATCTCAGCACCACGAACCTGTTGGGCTCATGCTCATACTGTCCAACCAAAGGTCTAATGGCCTAATCCTATTCTCTTTTGGTTTTCATTCCTATTTGGAATTGGATTCGGTTTATTCCTATTTTGAGTGGGTTTTGGCTTTAAGAGAAAGCACCACTCATGATCTATAAATAGGACAACCTTGGAGAATTATTATATGCTCATTGATACAAGTCTTTGAAAGACTTAAGCACATAAGAGTGGTTTAGAGAGAGCTTTCATCAAGAGAGAAGAGAGAAGAAAAGTATTTGTTTTGCTGCAGATTTTTATTCCGACCAGCCAACTTCAAATCACGTTTTCCGATTCGCTAACCATTGGATCGGGCTGAAATTTTGATTGAGTATTCGTAACATCTTGATTTTGGATTTGAATGGTGGAGATTGGATTTGAAGGCTCGTAGCATCTGATTTCGAGCCTCAAACAGCAGCTTCGTTTTTGTGGATTATACTCTTTCTTCAATTGATTAGTTGTTGCTCTTGTTGCTATTGTTGCTCCGTGTTTGGCCCTTGTTGTGTAGCCAATTTGGAGAACTTTTGTAACCCTCTTATTGTTATAGTGGAGCTTTTTGGATCTTTGTGATCCCGTGGTTTTTACCTTCGATTTGAAGGATTTTCCACGTTAAAATTTGGTGTTCTTTATCTTCTTTATTTTCGGGTTTGCCTCTTCCTCAACATAACAGTGGTATCAGAGCCTTGGTTATTTGTCCGGGTTGTTACGGAATGGAGGCGAATATGAGCAAGATGGTATGTTTAAATGGGAGAAATTATAATGTTTGGAGAAGCAAGATGAAAGACTTGTTGTTCGTGAAGAAGATGCATCTACCCGTTTTTTCAGCTCATAAACCCGAGAGTATATCCGATGAAGATTGGGATTTCGAGCACCAACAAGTATGTGGATATATACAGCAATGGGTTGAAGATAACGTTCGCAACCATATTGTGAACGAGATACATGCGAGATCATTGTGGGAAAAGCTAGAGACTCTTTATGCTTCAAAAACCGGGAACAACAATTATTTCTGCTAAAGCAATTGATGACCTTTAAATACAAGGAAGGCAGCCCTATCCTTGATCACATAAATGATTTTCAGGGCGTCCTTGATCAGCTATCTAGAATGGGAGTTAATTTAATGATGAGATACAAGGTACTTTGGCTTCTTAATACTCTGCCA